AAAAAAAAAACCCCCCCCCCCCCCCCCAAAACGCAGCTCCAAAAAAAAAAATAATAAAAAAAAAATAAGAGGGAAAAGGGAGAGAAGAAAAAGAAACATCATTGGCGATCTTGAAGTTTTAGCCTATCAACATTTTTTTCATAAATCTAATATTTTATTCCAACAACTAAAGTGAGTAAGCATTCATTTTTAAATTATGTCAAATTATAATCGCACCGGAGTCGTTTTTTTTTGTTGTTTTTTTTTTTGGTAATTATGATTTTGTTGTATTTTTTTTTTAACACTGATATTAACGTCTTATAAAGAAAAATCCAAACTTTTGAAAGTGAGGGATTCGGCAATCAAAGTACAAATGCAAGTTTCTTTTTTTTCATAAGGTAAATCTACTTACCAAGCTGGAGCCACTTCTGCCAACGATTGTATTGACAATGTTGATGTTAGTCCTGTGTAAAACATTGACAGTGCTGATGTTGGCACAGTGTAAAAGAAACCATTTCTGTAAAACAAGAAGCTTGGATTACGCAAAGCAAAGCATCTTAAGTATAGAAACAGTTGAGCACCTAATACGCTCACGTTTGAAACGTGTGTGTGTGCGTGTGTGTGTGTGTGTGTGTGTTTGTTTACTTTTTTTTCAACTGCTAATATATTAAAACGATTAATAACGTCAAAAAAATCGTATTTTTTCATCCATCTGTTGTGAAGTTTACTGTTGCGTTATTGTTGAAAAACCGGAAACAATTCATCCCATGTGTGTGTGGAGTGCATGCGCCTTGCAGCAAGTCCAATGTGTGTTTGATTGTATGCCATGCTAGTCCAATGTGTGTTTGATTGTATGCCATACTAGTCCAATGTGTGATATAAGTCATGTCACACTAGTGCAATGTGTGTTTGATTGCTTGTCCCACTAGTCCTATGCGTGTTTGATAGCTTGTCCCACTAGTCCAATGTGTGTTTGATTGCTTGTCCCACTAATCCTATGTGTGTTTGATAGCATGTCCCACTAGTCCTATGTGTGTTTGATAGCTTGTCCCACTAGTCCTATGTGTGTTTGATAGCTTGTCCCACTAGTCCAATGTGTGTTTGATTGCTTGTCCCACTAATCCTATGTGTGTTTGATAGCATGTCCCACTAGTCCTATGTATGTTTGATTGCTTGTCCAAATAGTCCTATGTGTGTTTGATTGCTTGTCCCACTAATCCTATGTTTGTTTGATAGCTTGTCCTACTAATCCTATGTGTGTTTGATTGCTTGTCCCCTAGTCCAATGTGTGTTTGATTGCATGTCCCACTAGTCCAATGTGTGTTTGATTGCTTGTCCCACTAGTCTTATGTATGTTTAAGTGCATGCCATTTAGACCTATTCCAATAGTTGTTAGTGTTATATACTAACGAGAACGTATGTGCATATCAAATCCAATATAAGATAACCTCAACTCAAAGACATTGATACATTCACAGTTCTGAAGCATTTAATATAAAAATAACACTGCTTACAAAGATGAAAGAAGATGCTCAGTACAAAGCCAAGTTTGAGAAACAACTACCTCGGAGTCTTGAATCTTTTGGCCAGTCACGAGATGTTCTTCCATACCTGGGTAATCCCTTCAAATTCTGCCCTTTCAGATCTCTCATAATTCTCCACCGGTCTTCCCCGGCTAGTCCCAGGCACAAAGATGGGATATCACGACCCTCCCCAAACTGTTTATGGGAAGATGACAGAAAATTTAAAATCCCATTAAAAATACAATTTTCGTATAAATACTCTATTAGATGTAATATCGAGCAATGGAAAAAGGGTAGGGAGGGAAGCTGAAATTTTGACAAAACCTGCATTAAAGTAAAGCACTTTATATGAATTTCAATTAGTGCCCCTCCCTCCCTCTTCCCAAGGCTCGCAATCACACGTGTATCCACGCCCCTGAACTATATTTATATTCTAATGACCCATCCGCCTTTACACCGCTGTTCGGAACCGGATCCCTTAAGACTAAATCCCATTCGGATGTCATTTGTGGTAGTTTAGTTTAGTTAAACTGAAGAATTAAGTTTACAAACATATAGTCAATTCTGATGCCTCATTTTTGTCTTACAAACCCAACAATAATATTTTTAATAGTTTTTTTAATCCCAACCTCTCACTTCTGGTACCCGGGTACGAATAGCCACTTTGTTAGCGAATCGCAAGTTCCTCCTCTTTTTAGCTTTCTGATGGATTCTGATCTTGAAAAAAAAATTATTAAAAAAATAATAATTGGAAAAAGTTGGGGCAGTTTGTTTATAATATTATAAAGACAAAAGCGGGTGGGAATTTCTTAAATATAGGTTTATTATTTTTTTTATTTTTTTTTATTATACGTTTAAACCTACATGTAAAAATGATGTCAGCGGTGTTCTTTTGTGATAGGAACCATTAAGTGATAACGTTTTAGAGCATAAAAATAAACGCATGAGGTCATCAGGTCACATAATAATTAGATGAAAATATGGTGTGTCCTGCGTCAGGGGCGGCTCGACGTTGTTGCCGTCCTGGGGCCAGGATCATTTTTGCTGCATTCAAGGCTACTTGACTCTGAAACTTAATAATAACATGTAGAGGAGTTGAATCGAATGAATCACTGTACACTAAACACCCAGAAACAACGAGTTTTCCGCTCCTTATCCTTCGTAGTACATCGGGGGAGGGTTCCTACTTGCCTGGTCATTGCGTGACTAATCCAGTTACCTTTGAAGATGTTTACCCTGACTGGACCAGTGGTGATCAGCTGAGGCCAAAGTCTAGAGGGAAGTCAAACTTCACTCAAAAACATTGGAAAGGTGGGGAAAGAAAAAATATGAAAGCATGTGAGAAAATTAGGATTGCGTAACTAAATCTTGAACATTTGTTCAACGAAGAAGAAATTATTTCAATTTCAAAACATCTTACCCAATAAATAGTATATTCACTTATTCAATGAAACTATATATATTTAAAAATGTGGAAATTGTATTGACTATTATTTACTAATTTTCTCAACAAAAAAAATCATGTCAGGTAAGAGTACAGCATTATGCTAAATATGAAATATAGAATAAATCTATTAAATCTGTAATTTTGATCCATTTTTTTTTCGAAAATATTAAGTTTTAAAAAATTACAAACCAGAATATGATTAGATATTTTTAAATATTTTATATTGGTAGAGTGTTGAAATTATTCATTGATTTTTATATTGGTAGAGTGTTCAAATTATTCATTTATTTTTATATTGGTATAGTGTTCAAATTATTCATTGATTTTTGTATTGGTAGAGTGTTCAAATTATTCATTGATTTTTGTATTGGTAGAGTGTTCAAATTATTCATTGATTTTTATATTGGTAGAGTGTTCAAATTATTCATAGATTTTTATATTGGTAGAGTGTTCAAATTATTCATTGATTTTTATATTGGTAGAGTGTTCAAATTATTCATTGATTTTTGTATTGGTAGAGTGTTCAAATTATTCATTGATTTTTGTCATCTTTTAATTTTTTAGAGGTTGTCAGCAGTTGCATGCTTCTGACCTTTGGAGTTATTGCACTAACGCCTGCCATAGGGGGTCTTCATGGATGCTACGATCGCTGTTAGTATCAAGAAATATGTACTGTTATTATCAAGAAGTAAGTACACCAAAGAAGCATTGGTTAGAAATGGGCATAGGCGTAAAGTTATCCATACGGTACCCTGATAGAAATTTTAATAAAGATATCTTTTAAATCACACAGAGACAATAAAATTACATGTAAAAGCTAACAGTTTTTACTTCCTTTTGAAACGAAACAACATTTTTTTTAAAATAATTTGTGCAGACCAGCTGCATGGTTAACAACATTTTGAATCTCATTAACTTGATCTGCTAACCATTCACAATTATTGTTTATTTATTTCTCTTGCAACAACATCACCATATTTTTTTTACCTTTACCCCAGATACTACAAGAAGCTTTTGAAAGCTGAACTAATGGGCTTCATTCTAATGAAAGAAAAATTCTGTAGTGAAAAATATAGCAAAGATGTTGTGTAACATAATTTTTCGACATTTTGTGTGTAGTCACACATGAAACAAACCACCACAGCTTTGGCTTCAACTATTAGTTCCAAATGGGCTGAATGGGGAGAAATATGCCTCAATATGTAATACAAAATCTACACTACATAGTATTAAGGATGGGTATAAAAGTTGGTTTGAAATTTGTGTGAAGAAAGTATGCTGGATGGTAACGGCTGGAAGGTATCTCTGACCACTGTGTCCGATTCTGTACGCATCTTAACATTTCAAGACACAGGGTTTATCCACTGTGTCCGATTCTGTACGCATCTTAACATTTCAAGACACAGGGTTTATCCACTGTGTCCGATTCTGT